AAACTAAAAAAAATAGAAAAAAAAAAAAAAAATATATTTTTATTTTTTTTTTTTTTTTTTTTTTTTTTTTTTTTTTTCTTTTTACATATTTAGCATGGAAAAACGAGAAAATGGAAAAGGAGATCCTCATTTAAGACCGATCATATGATCTGTATAACCACTGCCATGATTTTGTCTGACACAGTTCATTTTCAGCCTCTGACCCTTCATGTTAGCCCATCATTTCCCCTCTTGTCCCTTCTTCTAGTAAATCCAGAGGGGGCCGCGTGTTAGCTGACCCCCCTCCAGATGAAAGTGCCATGGAGTAACTCCAGATGTGAACATCCTCCCTCTCCGTCTCTCTCCTCTCTTTCTCCCACACTCATTTCTCTCTCTGTGCTCCACCATTGCCCTCCCCCACGCAGCTATGACTTTTCCATCTCCTTTTTTGGTGAAAAAATCTGAAACAGAGGCAGGGAGGAGGACATTTCGCCAACAGCCGACAGGAGAGTGGATCTGGAGTATGTGCACTCCATCAAGGCAGGAAAACAGTCGACTCAGCATAAACAGGAGTGCATTCATGTCCAATCAGGGGCAAAACGACACACATGAGCTTCTTTGTTATGTATTTTGTACTTGCACATACGATTATCTTAAGTGTATGAATACACTCGCTTTTTACTTCCTGCTAAACATGCATGCTTTCTCTAACACTTTCTCTCACACACACAATTTCAAACCCCCTCTCTCCTAAGCTGGACTCACACACACTTTCTTTCCTAGAAAGACATTTTGATCACTCCAAAGGGGTTTTCTTTGGCTTAGGCCTTAAACACAAGTCACCAGAAAGCCATGCTGGCTTAGTCTAGCAATAGATCTTCAGCATAACCACAACATCTAAAAATATAAGAAAGCTGTAAACACAAATCAGTCAGTGTCACTTTATTTAATTGATCTTTAAAAATAGAAGCAACAATTTATCCACAACAATCACAAACTGATTTACAGTAAATTAAAAAGATTATCATTTTGATGGCATATTTTTCATCTTCAAACATGTATTGGAACAACTCTGACTCACCAGCATCAAAGCTGAAATAATCAAAACAAATATTATAACTGTGCTGCTGTGAAAAAAAGTATTTGCCTCATTACTGATTTCTTGTTGTTTTTTTTTTGTTGTCACACTTGAAAGTTTTAAATCATCAAACAAATTTTAATGCCAGAGAAAGATTACCAGACTAATGATTAAAAAAAATCTAGATGATTTCATTTAGAAGGGATAAAAGCTATGCATACCAACCCACAACTATGTTAAAAATGATTAGCAGCCTCCCTTGAGTAACTATAAATCTACTATGATTAACAAAACCTTTGGAAAGGCCAAGTTAGATTTCACTAGCCACACCCAGCCTTAATTGCTGCCTGACCTGTATGAAGAATGAAAACACATAAATAAAATCTCTCTGACAACATAAAGTAGGATTAAAAAAAGCTCAATATGCAAAATGTAAACAAAGGCATTGATATCAATCTTCCCACGATCCATAAATGGATAAAACATGGAAAGGTGGAAATTGTTCTGAAAAGTGGCTGGATGGCCAGAATTACTCTAAATGCCCATCGGTGACTCATCCAGAAGATCACAGAAGAGCCTAGCCAACATACAAAGTTAGTGGCTTCAATTACCCAAGTTAATTTCCTTGTTCATTATTTAACACTAAGAAAATGGTATCAATAGGAAAGTTTCAAGGTGAAAATCACTGGTGATCTTTCAGATCTCATCCGCAAAAACAACATCTTCTTTCCCAAAACATTTAGAAAAATATTCTGTGGATTGGCGAGGCAAAAATAGAACTCTTTGGAGGATGTGCATCCTGTTACATCTTTCATAACAATAACAGTTCTAAGAAAAAGAACAGTACACAAGCAGTCATACATGGTGGTAAAGTGATGGTGAGGCTGCTTTGCTGCTTCATGACCAGCAATAAGTGATGCAACCATGAATTGTCTGGACATCAGTTTGTCAAGTTGTGACTTTGAAAGCACTCTTTGGTTATGCAGCAGAATGGTAATCTGTACCATCCCAGTATGCCCACCTCTGAACGGCTCAAAAAACAAACAAAGCAATAAGAAAGGTTTGGAGTGGCCAAGTCAAAACCCTCAATTGAATTGAGATGCTGTGGAATTAACTTAAAAAATAAGTTTATGCTGGAAAACCATCAAATGTTGCTGAAATAAAACAATTCTGCAAAGAACCGTTGGACTCACTGCCTCTTAATGCAAATACATGATGACAGTTGCTGCTACCAGGAGTTACAAAGCCAGTTGTTAAGTGTCCACTTTTCACAGTGTACCAGGTATATGGAGTTTCTACCTCAATAAATAAAATTAGGATGTCAAAACTGCCTTTTCTATCTTTTTCCCAATATAAGAATTTTGCTTAATGACTTAAAATGTGTGACAAAACACAAAAAAACAGAAGAAATTGCTAAGAGTGCAAACAGTTTGATGCAACACAGGAATTTTTGACATACATGACGGTAGCTAACAATAACAAACCCAACAAATTAAGTAATGAAACAGTGGCAAATGAAGGCATGCATACTTTTGCAATGCAAAACAGTTTTGCATTTTCTTTCAAAGTTAAACATACTGACTCTTTGTGAACAGATAATAAAAATACACATTAAAATATCAAAAAAAGAAGGCAGAACTGAACATTTATGTAAAATAAGATAGGCAGACACATGGCAAAAAGAGATCTGTTGCTTCTGCCATGTGTTTCAACTGTGTAATTATGTGCACATAACAGTAAATAATGAAAGCAAAAAAGCACATCTTTTCCAAAGTGCAAATGAAACGTCCTGAAAACCAAAAGCTACCTACACCAAGAAATCTTCTACATGTTTTCACTTTAAATTTAAGGAAAAGTATGTCCAATATTTGGCCACTTTTTACAAAAAGTGTCACACCTCCTTCTGTGTCACTGTATACAGTAACCTGTTCAAAATGCATAAGGTAAGGCATAAGATAATAAAGCAATAAGAGAAAGGTGATAAAAAGCAACATTCAAAATGTATGGACCTGCAGTTATAAGAGCATTAGAATAGTAACTCCACAATACAACTGAAATATAGACCGCAGTCATTTTTATACTATATCAGTGTTCTGTGTCTTTTCTTTAGAGCCCTGAAGTAATATTAATTAAGACATTTTTGGCAAAGTGGCAAGCATTTGCAGATTTTCACTTAAACACTAAATAACATAGAAATAATGTTGGTAATAAGGCACTCAATCTTTAACTTTCGCTGAAGTATGCAAACAACATTGCAACATCACGATTTTGCACACTAACATACGTAGCTCCTCTTACGCGACAAGGTTTTTGAGAAACTAAAGTCTTTATGTTAAAATGACCTGAGGCAGAATATTTTTAGCCTGCTACCCTCCATGGTACATCTGGGTTGTTTAAAAAAGCTGCTGAAGAACAAAAGGAATGGTGAGATCAGGTCAAGTAAGTGCTTTATAGGTTGCTGTTGCAGTCACGGCACAGGATCTTGTCGCCATCAGGGAAAAAGCCAGCGCCCACGAGTGAGATGGAGCACTGGGAGCAGGTGAAGCACGGCTGATGCCACTGACGATCTTCAAATGAGATGTACTTCCCTCCTCCAAATCCTAGAACAAGAAGTCTGGGGTTTAAGAGATTGCTGACTGATCTTTTAAATGAGTTTAGTTGCACAAAGGCAGACTTGGTCGTGGTGAAGTTTGGGCCAAATAAGCATTTTTCTGTTCGAAAAGATCTAGAATGGGTTCTAATTTTTATGTTATTTGAACAACTGCTTCACAGTATATGTTAAGCCCTAATGAAAGATGAGGAAAAATTGTTGTGCTATCTGGAATCAAAATATAAACATCAAATCTTTTTACTTTTCAACTAAATAAGCAGATAAAAAGCGGGGGGAAGTTATCCTTAGTATCTTTGAGTCAAGATCAAACTTTCTTGAAGAACAAACTTTCACTGCAATTGCAGTAGTAGAAACTTTTAGCCCTGACCTTTGGAAATAATTCAAGTAGTTGTCCTGTGTCAAGGCTTTGTTGGTGTTATTTTTATTCCTATTTGTGCAACTTTATTTTCAGTTTGTGCCACTAAAAAAAATGCCTACGTTTTCCCCATAAAGCTCAATCAAGGTTTATCTCTTTGAGATTTTCCCAGTTCATGCAAAAAAAGTTCTTCTAACCTACAGCACACCAACTGATAAAGCTTTCTTAATTATTAAGGGACTGTTTTTGACTTTCACAAATGTACATAATTGGATGAAGTAAAGTACTTTCATCTTGCCTGTAATTGGTTTGCTGCAAGCCTCACACTTCTTGGCATACAAGCTGCCAAAGCACTTCAGGCAGTAGGGGCTGTCATCTCTGGAGGTGAAGTGTTGACCCGCCAGCTGCGTCTTACAGTTTGTGCACACAAAACACTCCTTATGCCACGGCTCATCCCGATAGGTCACACCACCTTTAGCCAGGGCCTTAACAGAACAAATGTGGGATCATTTCTCACATGGGTTTCTGCAGCTTAAAAGTTTTTCCTCTGCCTTATATAATGGAAACCATGTTATACTGTAGATATTTGACAGATTTACAGACCTTTTTACAGCGCGTGCAGCGGGGAGCGAACTTTTCCTCATAGCAGGGCACACAGTAGTGGTCGTCCTTGTCAGGAATGAAGGACTTGGAGCCAATCGGCTGTTCGCAGCTGTGACAAATGAAGCAGCCCTCGTGCCATGTGGAGCCAGCATACTCCAATTTTCTTGTACCTGCAAAAAAAGGAGACCGACAGGAATAAAATATGACAGGGCGTTCACTTAAAATGGGAAATAAGATACTTGATTGCACAGCAGCATATAAAAACCCTTGTATTTCATATTCTGATTGAATACGAATACCACAGACCCATGGTTCTTTTCTAGGGCAAGAAAGTGGCAGCAAGCTTTAAACAAAAAAAAAGTAATACAGTTTTTCCCTCTGTGACGCAAGCCAATTGATCTTCCTGTAAATCCCCTGGATGTTGAGTTTATTATGCTGTGATCCAGTGGTTTATGTGGGGCTGACATTTCCACAGATTGCTTACGTTTCAGTGCTTCAGACTTTCTGTGCCGCACTGCTCCCTAATCAAAAACATGAAAATAACCTGGAAAAGTCTTTCCAGATTATAAACTCATGCAGGACTCACTGTGGCTCAAGGTGGATAATAGAGCTGTTTGTTGTGCACAGCTAAAAACAAGGACCGGCGTGAAAGTCTAAAATCTAGTTTCACAACAACTGAAGAGTGTTCCTCAGAGGTGCAAAAGACGAAAATAATATATACTCCTAGATCGCTATGTATTTAAACGTATTTATTCATTTGAAAAATAACACACAAAAACCTGTGCAGTAAATAGTTTCACATTCCAAAGTAAACTTGAGATACGTTTTTAGATGGTAGTGATCAGGGACGGAAACACAGCCTCTGTATTTGTCAGAGGATTTGACTCCAGGATAAATAGAATATCACTGACAATGGGAGCATTTAGGCAGCTCAGCCAAATAATCTTGTTAAAAACTTCTGCTAAAGACGATTTCACAACTTCCCTGTGAGTTCATTTATGCTTTCGTGTCAGCTGGAGGTGTGAATCTGCTTGTTGTACATTTTGGGTCCTGGCTGGATATCAACTTGAGAACATTAACAGTGGGGAGCAAATTATGAAGTGACTTGGAGAAGTTAAATCACTTTAAATACAATAGTAAAAAAAAAAAAGTTCATGTAGTAAACATGTAGTTGTGATAGCTAAGGGGTTCCAGCATTACCTGCTGCGGCAGGTAATGCTGAATGAGGTTTGCACACAACATCTGAATGCTGCAAGAATTCATTTTGTTTTGCTGAAGTAAAACAGAACAAGTCATAAATCAATATTCTGTGTTCATGTTTTCAGCATATTTTGAAAGAAAATATCTAATTAATCTAAAAGTTGACACCTTATAAAACAATGATACCACAGCAGAAACCTGGGTCGCTCACACTACAGCACCTTGATAGTCTTAAACAAGAAGTAAGTGACCTCTTTTTTTTTAACCAAAGAGTTATTCTTTTACCCCCATGTTTACTAAATAAGATGCATCTAATACCATGAAACAAAGAAGACAATAAAGGTAACTGCTGAACCTCAATAAACAGCTGCTATATAAAATATGTCTAACGATCAGCAGCCTTACTTCTATCTTTGGGTTTAAGCCCGAAGAAAACATCACAAACAATGTCTGTTTCCCTCTTTGAGTGAATCAGGAAAAAGAATGCACTGATCCACTGTCATCAAATTCATCAACATCACTTATTAATTTGGGAATACAATCCTGAATATGTTTACCATCTGATACAGACACATGATCTTGATCTGGTCAGGCCCTGGAGCGCTTTATTAGGAAATTATTTTCTTGATGTGATTTTTTTTTTTCATTGTGGTTGCATGACTTAATGGGTGTGTTTTTGTTTTCATGTATTCAGTGAAATCTATGCCACAAATCTGGTGCAGACATAAAAAACAGAGCATGCACAAAATAATGGCCAAAAAGCAGGGCAAACATCACAGTTTTGTGAAATGACATCAGTAGGAGCATGACTAAAGGTTTGACTGTTTTCTGCGGTATCTGTCTTTTCCTATAAACTTTTCCTAAGATTGCTGGAAGAGTCTACGTTTGACATAAAATTTCTACAAAATTTTAATCAGCAGTCTCTCTGAATTTGAGCCACTTGAGCTTTTCTAAATAAACAGCAGTGGAATTGTTCTGGGCTCTGCAAGGTGCTGCATAGGTGCTGGCTAACTGACTTCTTTATCTCCTGTTGTCATTAGTTCTGCTTGTAGGCTTCCATACCCAAGGATTCAGTTTATAGACAACAAGTGATCCAGAGAGACCTTGGCACCTGCTTGTTTATTTTTTTTTCCTGTTCCTTTTTTTCTGAATTTTCTTCCTCTCACCTCTCTGTTTCATCTAATATGCAACTACTTTCATTCATCGCTGAACCCAGCTAGATACCTCTCTTGTATTTTCCAAAATCATTTGCCTATTATCATTCAAGTTTGCATACTACATGGTATTTAAGAGGAGGAACAATGAGGCTTTGTACATGAGGGAAAATAAAAGTATGCATTGTAAAACAAATATTTCCATAAGTTTTTTTTATGGATTTATGGCTTTTTCTTGTTTAAAAAAAAAAAAAAAGACCAAACAATTTAATTGGATTTGTAAAAAAAAAAAGAAAACAATTGCTATATCTATTTTCACCTTCACCTGGCATGACGATCTTGTCACAGGCGACACATTTGGAGGAGAACTCATTACAGTAGCAGTCGTTGCAGAGCAGCGCATCATCCTGGCTGGTGAAGGGCTCATCTGCCAGCGAGCGGTCACAGCGGAAACAACGGAAACAATGCTCGTGATAATGTCTGTCCTCGTAGAAGAGCTCCTAGAAGCGGAAAGGGAAAGAGACAATGAAGAGAGTGGAAGTCATTTTTTACAGCTGTAAAAACTCCACAGATATGAAGTCTCGCTGTCAGTAACTTGGGAATCAAACGGGCCAAATAAGGGAATGACAGGAAGACATAAAGTAAACATGGACCCATATTTACAACAGGAGCAGAGAGGAGTTTTAAAGTGACAACCAGATTTCTGCGCAGAGTGCCAAGCGAAACAAGGCGAACCTACAGTGCCTTACAAATGAACTGAAATCCTTGGAGCTTTTTTCATATTTTGTTAGGTTACGACCACAAGATTTAATGTTTTTTCATTGGGATTTTATGCAACAGACCAACACTAATTGCCACAAAGCTGGGAAGAGGGTTTACAAAAACAAATAGAAATGTAAAAGTCGTGGTAAGAAAATTTGTCTTCAGCAACTCTTTGCTCCTAAATAACATCCAGTCAAGCAAATGCCTTCAGAAGTTTCCTACTTAATACCTTTCTGCAACTGAAACTCAGTTCAAGTGCAGCTGTTCTATGAGAGTCTCAGAGATTTATTAGAGAACATTAGTGCACAAACAGTACCATGAAAACCAACAAACACAACAAGCAGGTCACGGGAGAAAGTTGTAAAGAAGGTTAAAGCAGCTAAGCTAAAAAAAACAATTTCCCAAACACTCTGGACAGCTTAGAGCACTGTTCAGACCATAATCTGAAAATGAAGGGATTAAGCTACAGCTGAATCTGAACCCAAACTGACAGGCTGGGCAAGGAAAGTACTTATCACAATAATATTCAAGAGGACCATGTCAACTCTGGAGAAGCTGTAGTGATCAATAGCTCAGGTAGGAGACGAGTCAACCACTCAACAAAGAGTGGCGAGAAGAAAGCAACTGTTAGTAGAAGCACATAAGAACTCCTGTTTGCAGTTTTTTGAAGCCATGTAAAGGACACAGCAAAGAAATTTACATATGAGGTTTTCATACATCGTTTTTCACGTGCAATTTTTTTCATGTACGATGTAGCACTGCTATATACACATCTGGTCATGCCAGCATGGAAGCCTTACCCTTGCATCATGGCCAATTAGCTCTTTGCATTCATCACAGGTGTTTGAAAACAGACTGTCGTAACAGGGGATGCAGTATGGGTTGTCATCAGATTGGATGTACTTGCGGCCGTACAGGGATTCTTTGCAGTTATCGCAGTCGAATCGGTCAGCCATTGTAGTTTTCTGAAAACCTGCAACCCAGAGAGAGGAAGGTCAGGACAACAGTGTTTTAAAAAACAACAACAACAAAAAAAACAGATGAAAGAAAAAAGTAAATAAATCAGAAAGATGCAGAGATGAGGATGAGAAAATGTGGAAGTAATGGAGGAAGAGTCACAGCATCAGCAGAAGCAGATGCTATAGCAAAAATATTTGGCTGTTCTCAGCTTAGATGAAACCATGACCAAAAATGGAACCTAATGAAAATAAAGAATAAATATCTGCTGCTAAAACTACAGAAAGGACAAGTATTAATGTGTTCGACTGTCTGTGTGTCTTTGTAAATTAGGTGTTGAATTCTGAACCGTTAGGTCAGAATCTCTTGCTCAATACTTCATGTGGTTTTACGTATCTAATGCCTGCAGGGAAGCACACATAAACCTGACTACTTGATTCAGTAGAGTACTTGATTAGTTATAGCCCTAATATAAATACCAAGATCCCTGAACGAATAGCTCCTTTTCAGAATAAAGGTAAAAACTACATAATTCCCATAGATTTAGGGGGTGCATGTTGTGTGCCCCCTGACCATGACGGAGCACACAACAAAGTCACAGAATAACATTATGAGAGTATTACAGCAACAATATCAGGTTGCCTAAGTGTTACGACATGGCTGGAGGGCAGCCCGGTGATAAGTGATCCGGTCCTCTGGCAGAGCACACGGCTGGATATCCATTCCCACCACCCAGGAATAATAATCAACACTGATATAACAATCAATCAAACTTCAAACCAGACCCGTGCTGCCCATCTTACACACTCAAGGGTAATACACACACAAAAGCACACAAGGGGGCATGTAAACACACTCCCACACAAAAACACACAGTGACATAGGAGAAAAGGAAAAAGAACAAAATGAGAAAAATTACACACAATCCATCATCAAACAGAGAATCAAGTTTCTGTATGAGCTTTCTGCAAGACAAAGGCTCCTAATGAGTCGGGGTGAGAAAGTCACGATCCAACAGAGTTTACCTGCTCTCAGCCGTTACATGAAGCCCTCTGACAGGCTTTTTGCTGTAGAATGACACATCTTTCCCCAAGGCACTTTCACCCCTTTCAGTGACCTTAAAACATTAATTATGAAGTCTAAACTCACGACAGCCCTGCAGCCCAGTGTTTATAGCACCGTAGCTCACATTACTACAGCAACATCTCTAAGTGTACTCAGGGACTTGGCTAAATACATCACAAATATCTAATCACTCATGTTACAATATCCATCTGGAGGTTATGGCTAAATATCTGAGAGAGCAGCTGTGGTTGGTCTGTGAAATGTAACATTAAGGCAATGAACTTGTCTGCATGTGTTCAACATCCGCTGAATTTCACAAGTCCATCCATTTCTAAATTCCAGCAATGTTGCAACCATAAGCTCACATCAAGATTGCGAAGAGATTAGATCAACAAGGTATATGCCTAAAAAGGAGAACTCGGATCATGTTGTAATCAGCAGTGCCAGGTAAAAAAGGTACAGAATGTGCTGTCTGCGCCTGCCGGGTGAGCGAACGAGACGAGGCATGACTCACGACGACACAAAAGCAACACTAATTTTCAAAGCAAATTGTTCTAAGATAAATGTGCATGTATAATTTACGTATCTGCACGCCAGAAATGCTGCCAGAGTGAGTTCAGAAACTGCTAAGTAGAGACAATTTTACATCCTAGCACATGCTACTTGATATACGGTATGGTGAAGAATAATTGTTCATCTTACAGATGTATTCTGTGTTTGCTTTTTGGCCACACCTATCAGATCATAAAACTAAATTTACTATTAGACAGATTTGGATAGGCTGTCCTGAAACTGTTTAGTTGTGCTTCCGTACAATAACAATAAAAGCATTCTGATTCTGACAAAAATTACCAGAGTAAAACAGTTTTCAAAAGGTAATTGAATTCATACCTACTCAAAATAATTTGTTCTATATGAAAATATAACACTGCCCTGCTCCTTCTTAAATCCTGAATTAACTGTAATTAAGCACATTTTTATAGTTTAATTGGACAAGCAGCACCCATGTCTGACTACTGTCTGACTACCACCTGTAGAACTACGAAACCAGTCAAAAGGAAGATGTTTCATAATATGAACAAATCATGTTCTGACTTCTGTCTGTTACATCATATCCAACATAAAACAGCATTTCAGTAAAAGAAAACACAGTACTGACAGCCAGTTTGGTGGTTTGTCATCCTGTGGGAATGCTTCAGAACTGAAAGATTTGTTAATGAAAAAAAAAACAACTTTGCTTGTAAATAATGAATAATGTCTATTCTGTTGTATTTTGGTAATGAAGGGTTATCATGTATTGGCACAGAGTCGCATTTTATAGCACAATCAAGTAACATTGTCACTTTCAGTTGTTATGAAAATGTTGCACATATCAAACTTGACTTGACTTTGCATCATAGCCATATCTGATTCCTTGAAATTGGCCTGTGACTCTTTAAGAACCTCCAACCTTGTCCAACTCTCCCTTCATCTTGTTATCACAACAATGCTTCTTCCTGACATCCATTGATGCCAAATGTTCTTCAGAGCTCAACAGACATGCATTTCCATCACGCTTACTTGTTGCTGCTGCCGCTAGTCTGGTGGAGCCGTGTGAGGGACGGGTGCTCTGTAGGGTCAAAACTTGTCTGGGGATTTCAAGAGTAATGTAAACAACTTCTTTTCACCATTGCAACTGGTGGTACAACTACTTTCTAGGGTTAGGAAGACGTTCATTGCATAAGGCCAGACTAATGTGAAAGACTTTTATCCCCCCACCCAAAAAAGTCTAATAGTCACTCCAAAACCGTTTGTATTGTATTGTCCTTGTCTGATTTAAAATTTGCTTGACGATCAAAAACATTTAAAGGTCACAAAAAATATGTAAAAACGGTTGAAATCATCAAGGGGCAAAAACCTATAGGACAAAATACTACAGTTTCCCCTCATACTTTGTGTTCTCAGAAAAAAAAAAAAAATCTGAGGGAGATCTAGTGATTTGGTACACCAGTTAAGACTGAACAGCTGTGAAAAAAAGACTAGAAAGCCTAAAAAACACATACTACCTCATAAAGAAGAGCAAATGCTTGTTTTTCCTGGCAGATCTTCTCATCTTTCGTCTGCAGATTTGCTTCCAGTATCAGTGTTTGACAAGCCAAAGTAAGGCCTGTAATGAACTTCTGATGACACGGTCTCACAGAGAGGGGCATGACGTCAACCCACTGACCCCAGGGGTGACGGACAAAGACGTGAGTGCATGCACATGTTGCTGACCCAAAAGAGAAGAGAGAAGAGGTTCCAGACGTGAGGCTGTGTTTCTCACAGCTCTGTTTACAGCCTCTACTCTGGTTGCTTCCCAGCAGAGGTCCATCTCCTTTATTTCCAGTGCTCACAGACTCAGAACTTTACTAATAATCCTCCAAAATACCAGAGCTATGACTGATTTTAGGCCCCTGGGAAACTTGTGGGCTTTTTCAAGGAAATCATTATTGTACCAACACGGAACAAAGAGTCGCATTTATTGTCCTGAGCTATTTTTGGTATTTTTCAACCTTCCGAAGATTATACAAAGGTATGCATTATTACAGTCAGTCTGTGTTAGTATTGCACATGATCTTAGTACCTTTAAAGGGCCTCAAATATATGTTTTACCTTTTTAGGAAAAATTCCTACTTTTTCCTGAAATGGCATCACAAAGCAAATTATGTATTGCAAATAAATAACTATTCAGACATAAAGATTCAAGACGTTACAGAATCAACGTAACATGCAATATGGTTACTACCAGTCCCAGCTGTTACTACAACAGACGACAACTAACGTAACATTTTCATATTCTCATAGAGAACTGCAGTTATTGTATTTAAATGGCGGTGGGACAAAAATATAGAAGCATGAATATTAAACACGAATGTATCTGGTAAGGTGTTTCTGTTCAGGATTAAATTACTCTTAACCCTTGTGTCTAGAAATGGGGTCCAATCGACCCCACACACATAAAACTTGTATCATTTGCCACAGTCCTCTGTTTGCCTCAGTCCTCGCACACACAAGGGTTAAACTATTTCACATCTTGCCTTTATGTTGGCATCGTTAAAAAGGTGTTTTACGCAGTGCTGAGCAATACAACAATGAAAAAAAGTATATCAGAAAATTATAAAACAAAAAAAAAACAATGAAAACAAAACATCATAGAGTGGAGGCACCATTAAAAGATGGAGAAGAGATTCCAGCCAGTAATGTAAACTTCAGTTGCATTATTTTATGCTTTACTGAAACATATCACACTCATAACAATGGGTTTTGTACATCAAAATATTGGTAATTGAAGAAGTGTAACATGTTCCACGAATACTTTAGTGTTAAATTTCAAATTATAGATTTTGTCATTGCATTGATATCTGCAGGCATTATGCCAGATTTAAATCAATGTAACACAAGGTACTTATGCTTCCAAGTTTCCTGTTTTTTTGTTGTTTTTTTTATTAAAGAAAAACACAATTTCCCAATAATGCAGCATTTGACAAGCAACTAAATTATTTGAAACGCATTTTTATAAATGCAAACATTTTGGTCTAAGCATAAAGGCAAAAAAAAAATGTTGCCTATTTAGGCATATGTGAACTTGCACAAATATCACTTACAAACAGCCAGCTGGATTCTTAGCTTGTTGTTACACATGTGGATATGAGATAAGGCAAGAATGTGAAGGCTGCATTCTGCTAGGCATCACAACACTCCCTGATTGGCAGAAGAAGGTCATATTCAGGGACAACTGTGAGACACCACAGAACAGACTGATGCATCCAAACCAACATCAAAGCTGTTCCTGAGAAACAGTCATGGACGGCTGCTGGAGAGTTAGCATGCACCAAGTTCATTTCTTTCCCACAGGCCAGAAATCCCCAGCTCAAACTTTGCTTACTAGCTGCCTAATTCTAAATGAAAAGCCTTAGGAGCCTGATAGAAGAT